GCAGTTTGCTGAGGCAGCTCACAGGGCTTACCCATTTGTTTCCTGAGTTAGTGGCTGTGATGCATCGATCAATAATAGAATCATCTTTGTATACTAGGAAAGTAGGATGTGTGGGTTTTCAGTAAAAGAAACCATGAGAAATGCAAATGCAATTTTGTTGAGGGAAGAGAAAGTAATTCTGTCCTAAAGTGAAGCTAGTGATTTCAGAATGGGAAAGAGGAAAATCAGAGAATAAAATCCAAAGGTACAAAATAAAGTTGTAGAAAATTTGTGATAAGGGATCTTGGGAAAGGAATTTTATGCATGGCCAAGCTGCCTAAGATTGGAATAAATTTGTTTAAATAAAAAAAGGAAATGAGCTTTAATATTAAAAATACACTGTTACAAAATTAGAATTTGGTTTTCTCTCTATTAAAAGGACATAGTTTTCTTGGATTACTGGTGTGCTCTTGATAAAAGATTATAAAGGTTTTTCTTTGCCTTTTAAAATAATCTGCCTAGAAAACAAAGATTCTTTATTTTATCAAAATAATTCCCTGTGTTTCATATTTTCTTTATCAAGTCTTTGATTCCTTTTTTTTGAAAAAATTTTTTTAACATTTATTTATTTTTGAGACAGAGAGACAGAGCATGAACGGGGGAGGGTCAGAGAGAGAGGAAGACACAGAATCTGAAACAGGCTCCACGCTCTGAGCCATCAGCACAGAGCCTGACGTGGGGCTTGAACTCACGAACATCGAGATCATGACCTGAGCCAACGTCATATGCTTAACCGACTGAGCCACCCAGGCGCCCCATCAAGTCTTTGATTCCTTAAGAAAACAATCTTTCCTAGTAAAAGAACTAAGTTTGTTTTTGTTTTTTTTTTTTAAAGACAAGTATGTAAACTTTCTGTATTGCCTGTGAAATCTTTAACTGTCTTTCTGGTTAAATGGATAACCAAGTAATGTTTCACAGTGACCTACAGTCCTACTATTTGACCAATTATTTTAAAACCTTTTGATATTATTAGTAAACTTCTCCAAAATCTAATTCTAAATGAAATCTTTTGACTTGGAACCAACTCCAGGATTTTTCATATGGCTCCTAGAAAATCACAAAAGAAGTGTTCTTGCTCCTTATAAAAAACAAAGCTGTTAAACTGATTAGGCTATTTGATATTAAATTATGTGAGAAGCATTCTCAAAAGGAAATAATACTAAGTCTTCTTTATGTTGTATTTATGTAGGTATAGGTTATAAATGTTACAGAAAAAATGAAACTCCTGGAAATCTGACAGGTCCTAATATTATGTTATTAGTCATAATTCCCATTATTATCTTAAAATATTGTGTGTCATAACCAATTTTCATGTCAGCTGCATTATAATGTACTGTCATCAGAGCTTTAACCATGGACATTTTTAAGTCTTCTATCATGTACAATTACTGTTTTACTCTGATGCTTTTGCAAATGTGGTACTCATGGAAAAGACCCTACCAACAACTGATGCCAATGCAGATTACAAGATGTTGAACTTTGGGTGTGTATTTCACAACTTAAGACGGTTCCCATGGACATCTGGTCCTGTGCAAATACTGGAGACCTTGAAATCAAATTGACTAGGAAGAGAAGTAGCAGACATCAAGGTAGATTGCTTCTATTCAAGATGTCAGATCAAGACTTCTCACTATAACTAAACATGAAATTCTCTCTTCTCTTTCTTCCTTTACTTTGGTACTAGTCTGGGGAAAGATAATGTCATCATCTGTACCTCCCAGGCCATTCTTAATAAACTACAATAGATCTCCTTAGAAGTTACTTACTGAGTCTGACTTTTATGGCCAGAACATCCACTGCCTTGTTTTTACTCTTCTCTGATTATCACTATACTTGCCCAATTAGACACAAATGCCTATGCAAACTGTAGTATATTTATACCCATGTTCTTATGATTACCTAAATCACATCTGCCCCTAATTATGAAAAAGATCTCACCAACAGTACACATCTGTGCAAGGCATTTAGAACAACTCTTTATTTCAAACTAGATTTATGGAAAACCTAAGTGACCCCTGGCTTATACAGAAAATGCAATAATCCCTGCAAATGAAGCCATTAATAGTGCCACCTCAGTGAGAGTGGTTTATGCTCCCAATATGATTTATCTTGGTCTGTGGTGGTTATCATTCTCCTTGGGCCTGCAAATGTCTAGATGGCTGGCAATACCTAGGAAATGTCTCTTAGGCTATATGATTATTTATAAGCAAACTGAGACACCTCACTGCTCAACTCCCTGGAATTTACAACGTTGAGTTAGACCTACAAGGAGGCAATAATAATTCAGAAGAAGGTCGTTCTTGATAATAGGATAGCCCTTTATTATTTTTTAGCTGAACAAGGTATCTGTGTTGTGGTCAATACCACTTGCTGTACCATGACTATGCTTCTGGGGAAGTTGAAACTCAGCTACATAAGATTTGTGAACAAGCCACACAACTTAAGAAACTGACTCCTGCAATGGGGTCTTCTGTGATTTAATGGATTTTAATTGGTTTGGGTCTTGGGGATTGTGGCTGCAAAGTGCACTCCAGACGCTGGGAAATATCCTGCTGATAGTAATCATTATAATAATCTCCCTGGGGGCTCATGGGTGGCTCAATTGGTTAAGTGATTTTGACTCAGGTCATGATGTCATGATTTGTGAGATTAAGCCCCATGTCAGGCTCTGTGCTGACAGCATGGAGCCTGCTTGGAATTCTCTCTCTCTCTCTCTCTCTCTCTCTCTCTCTCTCTGTCTCTGTCTCTGTCTCTCTCTCCTTCTCTTTTTTGCCCCTCCTCAGCTCGCACTCTCTCTCCCTCTCCCCTAATAAATAAACATCAAAAAAAAAAAAAAATCTTCCTGGTCCTGTTTTTCCTCAAAGGTTTTAAATGCATGCTCATAGCTGCTAACCACCATGCAAATGATGTGCAAAATATCGGAAAAGGAACACAAAGAATGACCAACTTAAAAAATGTGAACCTGAAGTTGTGACTTGTGAATACCACACAGAGGATCAGCAAACCCTGCAAGAACTTCAGTGGTAGCTGGGAGGGTTGCTAATGCTTTCAACTTGGATCCCATCTCTCAGTTAAGCTGAGAGTATGATCAAAAGGGGGAAGATTGTTAAAAAAAAGGAGACAACAGGCCCAAAATGGAGTCACTTGTGCTAAAGCTCATGTGACCAAACCAAGACTTAATACTTAACTTAGTTACAGTCAATCTGGAATTACCTGGTCAGCACTAGTGAGGTAATCTGCTTGACAGACCCCTGCTGTCTCCCAAAGGAAGGTGACTTTGCCTGAAACAATCCATACTTTGCTAGTAACTTCCTTGTCCTAACCGCCTCCTGTCTGTAAGTCTTTCATTTTGTATGGCTCTTCAGAGCTCTTTTCTATCTGCCAAATGGGATGCTGCCCAATTTATGAAATGTTGAATAAAACAGTAAAGATCTTTACTATTTCTTCAGTTGAATTTTGTTTTTTTAACACAGGCATTCAAATTTGCATGCTAACAATGGCTATGACGGTTTGGAGTGAGAATAGAGGCATATGGGTTACACAGTATAGCATAACTATGAGTGGCTAACTTTTTTTTTTCTTCTCTACTTCCCATTTTCCTTCTCATATGCCCCTCTGTGATATAAGAAAAAAACAGAACCAAACACAGACGCAAATGTGACAACTATTTTGGGGATTTCAGAAAATGTTCTAGGTAAAAATCACATATATCTAAATGTTCAAATGGCATGATCTTAAAGTTTTAAGCAACCATGTCTGGACCATATTAACTTTGTGTCATCACACAGCAGAACCACCCTTTGAGACTGCAACGTAAAGCTCCTATGAAGCTGAGAGCAACAAATAGGACAGAACAAAAGATGACTATACATTGGGGTGCCTGGGTGCCTCAGCTGGGTAAATGACTGACTTTGGCTCAGGTTGGGATCTCATAGTCTGTGACTTTGAGCCCCATGTTGGGCTCTGTGCTGGCAGCTCGGAGTCTGGAGTCAGATTCTGTGTCTCCCTCTCTCTCTGCCCCTCCCCCCACTCATGTTCTGTTTTTCTCTCTCAAAAATGAATAAACATTAAAAAAAATTTTATAAAAAAAAGATGACTATACATCAAATATGTAAATCATACTTTACCCAATTCACTATGACAGTATTTGAATGATTATTTTTTCCTGAGAGAAAATTTGGTTCTTGTATTTCAGGAGTCAATGAATTTGTGCCACAAACTCATTTTGCAGTGCATAAAGGAATAGGAAGTTAATGTAGCAAATGAAGGGGTCATAAAAGAATGAGATTAACTTGAGCGTACTGCTTTGGGGAGGGTCTCATACTTCATATAAAGAATACTTCATATTCTTGAAGGTATGTGAAGTCTTTCTTTTTTAGGAAATCCACTATAATAAGCTACAAAGTATCTTACTTTGTAAGATGTCCCTTGTAATTTCTAAAGATGTATCAACTTTAAGATGCCTCTATTTCAGGGGCGCCTGGGTGGCGCAGTTGGTTAAGTGTCCGACTTCAGCCAGGTCACAATTTCGCGGTCCGTGAGTTCGAGCCCCGCGTCGGGCTCTGGGCTGATGGCTCGGAGCCTGGAGCCTGTTTCCGATTCTGTGTCTCCCTCTCTCTCTGCCCCTCCCCCGTTCATGCTCTGTCTCTCTCTGTACCAAAAATAAATAAACGTTGAAAAAAAAAATGTAAAAAAAAAAAAAAAAAGATGCCTCTATTTCAAATTAATTTTTTAAAAAAACATTTCCTTTATCTTTCTCCAACTACACTGTATCCTTGGGGCCAAATAATAAGACCATTATTATTTGGCTTTGTCACCCCAAGAATAAGGAATTACTCCACACCTACAAATAAAAAAATTAGCCTGGTACTTCTTGTTGGAGCCAACAAAATCACAAAGAAAGTTCTGCAAAAGCTTAAACATATTCCTATTACAAACCTCTTTCTACTAAAGAGACTTACCACAGGATCTTTTATCTCAAGAGTAGCCTTAAATTTCTCAATACAACGCTTCTGAAGGCATGGGATGGTAGTAACTTCTGGACTGGTAGACAAAATAAATACTGTGATAGCAGTAAGGAGACTGATTTCATCAAGTTCTTGATGTGTTCCATCTACTAAAGAGAAATGATCTATCAGAAACATCCCAACATTGACAATTGACATATTTATTGTTCTATATATCTGTGAAGATGCATCTAGTTTGACAGCCAACAATTTCTTTTGTGTACACAACAGTTACAGACAAACACTGATGGAATGATTTTAAGAATCCTGGAAAATGTCATAGGTTTCAAAATGTGCAGTGTAAGTAATTCTAGAGCCAAAATTTACGAAAGTGATTATATTCTTCACAAGTAGACATCTGTAAATACCATGTGTAGATTTACCAGGAATATACATTTATTAGTTGTGTGATCTTGGATATCTAACCCCATTTGTCGTTTTCTCATTTGTAAAATGGGAGTATTAACAGTACTCACATTTTATAAAGTTATGAGGAGTTATTCAAGTAAATCATTTAGCATAGCATGTGTTACACATATGCTCAACATGTGTTAGCTATTATCATTTTTGTTGTGAAGCAGATGAGAAATGAATGTACAACTGATTTTTCTTGGTTAAGAATAAGGTATTCATATTTTCATAATACAAATGTCAAGTTTAACTACCTCGTGCTTTGCTATATATATATATATATAATTTCTTAACAGTACAGAAAAACCTAAAATTATTGCATGGGCCACATTTGAGGAATTTTCTAGTAGATGTAATTTTCCTTCATTTCCCTCCATATTTGCCTTCATATTCTCATTCAATAATTTTAATGAGCCTGCTGTGAAAACTCAATGTTATTTGAAAAGGAAAAGGCATAGCAAATTCGAGTCACTAAATTGTGTAAGAATGGATTGCTACTTATGAAGAAATGATATACAGAGATAGAGATAATAGCTTTGCTAACATTCATTCAGTAGTTAAGAAACATTCACTATGTGCCAGTACTCTTTCTGGCACTGAGAATACAATTCACAGAGAAGATATACTGTGTACCAGAAAGTAAATGAAGAATTTAATTTCAGTTCATCACAAAGTCTATGAATATAAAAAATTCATTAAAAGATAAAAGAAAGCAACCCAGGAGTTGCTACATTGGGTGGTCAGAGAGAGCCCTGAGGAGATTAATATCTGAGCTAACACTTGAGAGACAGTAGCAATGAAAGCAAAATATTATGGATGACTGGGATTTATTTTATAAAAATAATTTGAGTAATATCAAGGTAAAAAAGTACATGGGTCAACACTTAAAATTATGACAGTATCATTATAAGTACTTCATATATATTAAATGTTTAATCCACACAACAGCACCATGAGGTGGGTATTCTTATTTCTCCCATTTTATGGATGAGAGCCTGAGGAATAGAAATTAGTCATTTGCCCAAGCCACACAATTAGTAAGGCAGAAGGTCTGATTCCAGAGAGCGTACTGTTAATCATGATGCTATACTGCTTCCCATAGAGTTGGCACTTTCAGTCATTCATGGCAACTTGAAACTACAACAGTAGTTTCAACAGTAGTAAACTAGTCTGTTTGGTAAAAATGTCTTTTTATTTTCTTTATTCCCCCACCCCTGCCCAAATCCCCTTATTCTCACCCTCTTTTACCTAGAATAAACACAAGATTCCCTTAGCATTAGCTCCATGGAGAGGCCTTTGTGGTATAGAAGCGAGGCTTCCTGCTAATAGCCAGCAAGAGGCTGAAGACTCTTTCCAAGAGCCATGAGTGAATCATCTTGGAAATGGATCATCTAGCTACAGCCCTGGCCAACATCTTAACAGTAACCTCATGAGAGAGAACCACGCCCCTATGCTGCTTCAAATTCCTGACCTATAAATTATCAGATAATAAATGTTGTTTTAAGCCACAATTTTTGGGCAATTCCTTACACAGAAAATGGTTAACCTGTGATCATCAGTTCCTGCTTTAATTTCTCTCAGTAGATAGTCTAAATCCTCACGGTCCTAACTGCATTCTCTGATAAAAAACAAAAAACCGTGTGTGTGTGTGTGTGTGTGTGTGTGTGTGTGTGATGGAAGAGACAAGCTCATTGTTAACTCTCAACATAAAAACTTATACCTATTACTTCCTATCTATACCTCGTTTTCTTTCCTCAATTGGTAGAGGTTAATCCTTCTAAATGTGCTATGAATTTTATTTCTTCCTGCTTAGAAAGGAACATGGCTTCCTTCCCTAATATTTCTAACTCCAATCCCATCTCTACCTTCTTTTCTCCCACATATGCACAAATTCATGCTAGAGTTTCATCTTAAAAAAAAAAATTCCTTGATCTTGTATTGTCCTTGTCCTTCAGCTTTCTCTTCTTGTCAAGAGAAGTCTATACTCAATCCTTCCCCTTTTCTTACCTCCCGTTTACACCATATTTATACTGTTGACCACTCTATCACCATTAAAACTCTTTTCTCTGGCTTCTGTGACTGCATTGTCCCCTGAATCTCTTCCCATTTTGCTCCATACACTCAATTTGGGTGATTTTATCCATTCCGTAGGTTGCACTGACAACTCTCAAATGAAATACACATAGTCTAAATCATCTCTAGCTCAAATAACTTTCTCGAATTCCAGACCTCTACATATTTTGCTTCCCTGGATTATCCGATAGGTATTTCAAACTCAATTCGCTACATTCCCCTGAAAATGTTCACTTTGGAATTTCTGTTAATGCTCAGTCAACCCACCCTTTCAATTCCTGAATCAAATTATCAGTAAATTCTGTTAATACATGCTTCACGTTTCATTTTTCATTATTCTCTTTAACCTTACTGCTGCTATCTTACCTCCAAGTATCTTGCTTTGTTTTCTATAGCTGCCACAGTGATTCTTCAGAAATGCAAATCTTAACACTTTACTCTCCTCCTTAAAACCCTTTAGGGATTCTACATGCATATTAAAAGCAGCCCAAATTACAAACCATGCAAACTCTCCATAAAACTGGCCCCATGTACCCTTCAGCCTCATCTCTTTACTAATCACTATTCATCACCCTCCTCTTTTCCCATAACCCCACATTCTTTCTTTACTCTATACCTGCTGTCCCCAAACGTACCATACTATTTAGGACTACAGATAAAAATGTTGTGCCTGGAACCCATTTCTATGATGTCCATGTGGAAAATGCTTTCTAATCCTATAAGAAATTGCCTGAAAAGTCTCTTGGTAGTATACAGGTGTACCACTGAGATCCCCTTCATGGCGGAAGGTGCTGCCCAGCCATGGGGAGTATGGTCAGCTAGCTCCTTCAGGGTTGGCCTCAAGCTAGAGTTGCCTTGACTGAGATCACATCTTTCTTGGGGTAGCCCACATCTGAGGATAAAGTACAGGCCATTTCTGTCCTATGTGAGACACTCAAATGAGCAGGCAACCTGTAGAGCTCCCAACAAATCTACTAAGCTTTGTTGGGGGCTTGCACTGGAGTCAGACTTCTTTGCCCAATGTTGCCTTCCCCTACTCCTTTCACACCTATCTACAGATGTTGTTCCTTAATAAACCTATTGCTTCCCAAACTCCATCTCAGCCTGAGCTTCCAGAGAACCCTACCTGTTACACTCTGCCTGATTCACTCACATAGAGCTGATTACTCTAAGTTTTTATCAGTCTCTTTTTTACTGTACTTAGAAATGCAGTGATAATTAAGATATTACTGTTGCCTTCAAGGAGTACTTTGTGGTAGTAATCATACATGTTAATCATATGACAATTTGTAGGAACTAGACTCCACGAGACTCCCAACTTTGGGCACAAAGTAGGTGGTCAATAAATGCTGACCTCAACTGAAACTTTTATACCATATAAAATAGAGTATGGTGAATTGTGACATTTTATAAACAGAACAAGGAAGGCAGGGACAATCTGTAATATGTCTAAGGACTTTTTACAATCACCATGATGTCATGTTGAAAATGAAAACTGCACAACAATAACATGGGTGAACCAAATTTTACAGATACTGAACATAATACTATCATTTATTGATATATGTCAGATAATAAGCAAGATGCTTTCCATGTATTATGTTACTGCTCTAACAATTTCCTGCAACACAATACCCTTATTCTGTTAATGAGAAAACTACAGCTCAGAGAAGTTGAGTAACTTGGCTAGTCAGTTAGCCAGTAAGTGGTGGAGTGAGGATATAAACCTGATTAGTCTTATTTTAGATTTACAATGTGTACTTACGCACTTTTGCCAGCTAGTTATGGATCATACTGTATCTGTAAATTAATTATTACATTTGAAGGTCTCTCACTATTAACTTAATATACAGGAAGCCAGTCATTTAACAGCATTAAAGAGTAAAGATACTAAAATGAGAATACAGATGTTTCTGCTTATACATATTCTCTAAACACATTACACAGTGAATATGTGGTCTCCTCTAGGTGAGAATGCCAAACACCATCAGTTAAATAGCTTATTCTCAAAAAAAAAAAAAAAAAAAAAAAAAAAAAAAAAAAAAAAAAAAAA